AAGATAAGAGGAAATAAATGATGGCAATTCTGGTACAGCCAGAATAAGAAATAGTTAAGAAGAGAATTTTGAGAAAGACAGTACCATGGCAGCAAGCCAACTGGTAGGAGGAAATTTTGGTCAGAGAAACATTTCCTACATCAGAGTAAGCATCAGAAAGAATCCAAGTGGTCAAATACCCCACCTTACAGCAACATTTGTGTCACACAGTCATATAAGTCTCTGCAATTGCCCAAAAATCTTTGGTAAAAGTCTTTACCCAAATGATCTACTGGAGAAGTATTTGAGAGATGAGCAAAAAATACCTGTACACCCCATTCAATTCTCTACAGGACAGAGAGCAAGCCTGGGGCAAGACGCCAAAAGGAGTAAAAGAACCTCAAACAGAAAATCTGTGAACATGTGTGAGCATACACACCCTGGGCATCCATGGAAGTCTTGAAGGACAAAGATAGGCAATTTAAAGTTACAGCACTTTCTTTTAAATCTCAAAAAAATAATAATAATAATAACAGGAAATCCAGCTTCCTTGCTCCATGAATGTAAGGCAACCTCAATAGCTATAACTTCTGATTGTTCAGAAATAAATTTTACATGCATAGTTCTCCTGGTCAACAAGCTTTGTTCTTTTTTTTACACTTGATAACTAATTTTTTTGGACATCTTAGCACCTTTACCATGTTCATTCAACTTCAGAAACAGAAAAACTTACACTGATTTTTCTTTTTTTCATCTCTGACAAAAGATGTTATTGGGATGTCTCAGTTTCCTGATTCTGCACATTTACACAACGATGAATGCTTAAGTGAGAAATACTGTTTTTCACCTACCTCATTAAATCTGTGTGTTTGAATGTGTGTATTTGTGCTCCTATATAAATACACTAGTGAACCTAAGTGTGTATATGATTATGACTATTTCCTGGAGTTGATGAACTTATTCTACAGTCTTTAAAAAAAAAACCAACAACACTCTTCTTGCAACTGATTGCAATTTTTCTCTCCTGAAGTTCCTATGTTTTCCCAAAAACTGAATACAGATTTATTATTACAGCAACAAATTAACACAGTGTATAGATATTTTCAGAATAATGACCTCACAATGGTTTTATTTGCTCAGCCATCTGGATGGTTTGGGAGTGAAGGTGACTTCTTTACCATAACAATTGAACTTTAGAAAGTGTCTTCCTGATGGGAAATTGTATTCAGAGAATAGAACATCTAAATCCAAAATGTCTAATGAGTCATCAGGGACATTAGAAAATGTTAAGGATGTTTTATTTATGTTTAAATGTTTGTGAAATAGTCATATGTAGAGGAAAACCAACTATAGCAGTCTTTGCAAATATTATGTTACTTCTCTTTTACTGTTTCCAGGAAAACTACAAAAAAGGAATGGGAGATTTAACATTATCCCTGGAATATGTCCATCATCCTCCTACTTTCTTTGGAGTGTCTGAGAACTCAACAAATCTAACCTGCAACTTAGTGTCTTTCAATTTGAAAAGGACATGATAATACAGAGTTAACCAGCTAGTCCCCTGGTCAATACTATGGCTTTCTTGGAGGTGGCAATTTATCAACCTGCTGTCACCCACCCTTTTTTTAGATTGCTTATTCTGGTTAACATTTATTACCACTCTTTGAGCCATTTCCAATTGAACACATCTGAATCAATCAGTTCCTCTTTGTTTTTGCAATAATTCCTATTTCTGTTTCAAAACCTAAAAAAACAAAAATTTATCCTTTATCAAGGGCAATTTTTTTTTCACAGTGCTGGGGATCAAACCCAGGGCTTGCACATGCTAGGCAAGTACTCTACCACTGAGCTGCATCTTAGCCATGACAATTTTTAATTGTTCCTATTTTAATGTCTTTATCAATAAGATAAGTGTGCACATTATGGATTTGTTCACATTCGTATGATCTTTTCTTAATCTAACAATTAGCATGCCCAGATGAGCACACACATGTGTTTGGAATAATACAAGGTGCTGGACAATTAATGAAAATAGAGCTAGAGAACTGAGAAGTCAAGGTCATGAGCAAAGATGCCAGTGGTCATGGGTGCCCATGTACAGTCCCAGCCAAGCGGCTTGGACCTCATAAAGATGGGCTTTGTGGTGAGTTGCACCACAGGCATGGAGGCCAGGGTGCTGTTTGGCACCTTTTCCTGCCTCAGGATTGAAAGGTGGGGTCAGGAGTTGATGGGCAGTACTGGGAAAACCATAATGCTGAGTGGTGGTAACTTTTGCACATTCATGGCCATCAGGATGCACAAATAATGCTAACCAGGGCAAAGGTTGCCTGCTGCATCCACCTTCCTGTGAATTCCAGCCCTTGCACTATAATAAAGTCTTTGGATGATTTTTAGCAATCTATCTCTAACTTCATGACACTTAGAGTTTAAAAAATGCTTATTTATCCAAGTCAAAATAGATTCATTTATGATAGCTTCTTTGTAAGCTATCAGAATTTTTAAGCCCTATTTTTTCTCTCATATAAAGTCACTTTCTCATTATTTCTGGGTAATATGCCTCTTTTCCACTATTTTTTGCTATCTTCCTGAGTTTATTCATTTTTCTTATCAGAGAGATATAAAGTAAGTGAAATGTATATATATATATATATATTTCTACTTTCTTTAATAATTGCAGCTTAGGAAAAAAGTTTGTAGCTACAGCCTAAAGTCAAATTTGATTATCAAGTTTTAATATTATCAACTAATTTTTTCCATTCATCATTGAATCTTTTTTGCTAATCCTCATAAAAAATTATCTGTCTGAAGACAAAAAATATAATCCATTTCCTATAGAATGCTGGTCAAAATAAAACATAAATGGCAAAGGCACACTCTTAAGTTTTATGTATATACACACATCATAGAGAAGAGACATCAAGACACCAACTGTTTCCTTTTCTGTCCCCAAATGAATTAGTGGCAGGGGCTAGAATATTCCAAAACCAACTGACTCTGATCTTCTGTCAAGGTGAACTAAAGTGAGAGGATTGGAAAGCATTATGGGTAGGACAATGCTGATGGGATATTAGGTAACAAACAGTGAAAACCTCAGGGGATGATTCTTGCACAGTTCATATCATTTCTCTACCCTCCTACCTACGCACGTGGCATTTCAGACACCTTAGAGAGCAGTCATTATGGCTGTGCCTCTTTTCTGCATGGTGATGTCCTACTGACCCTACTTTGTGCCCACCATCAAGCAAAGATAAGCAAAAATTCCATGGACAATGTGGAGCAAGGACAAGGGCAGACAGGGAGAAGTCTGTCAAGATGCACTGAAGGTGGAATGTACAATCCCATTAGGAATAAGTTAATAACTGTGACTCCAAACTCAGCAGACCTCTGGGCATGATTTCAGCTCTGAATTAGGGTTTCATAGCAATCTTTAAGGTAATGTGATTTTCCTTACTGTCGCTAGCTTTTACTTTAGTCACTTGTATCTGGATCTTATTAAATTTTCCTGCCATTGTGGTCATTCTGTCTTCAAATAAATGAGAAACTGGACTAAGTCAATGCTCATACTAACCAAGCACTTCCAATAAGGAACTTGAACTTGAATTGGAAAGAAAAAGAACCAGAGTTTATGGGACATCTGTCTATGAAAATGTGCTTCCCGCTAGAGGCATCAAAACTAGACAAATGTAGCTGCTTTCTCTACCACTTCAGCACCATAGAATTTGAAGGGATGTCAGAGAGCATCTCCCCTCCACTCCACTCCCTTCTCAAAGAACATAGGATCAGGTTATGTGTGGTCAAGCCCAATAAAGGTTGTCTAATTTCCAGTCTTGCATTCTTACTACTTACAACTACTAGGTCTATTTTTCATAGTATCTATTGTGTGCAAGTACTATTCTAAGCAGTTTCCAGTTGTTATCTTTTTTTCTTTTTTTCAGTACTGAACTACTTAGGGTCTTGAACTACTTAGGGTCTTGGTAGCCAAGCACTCTATCACTTGAGCCATGCCCACAACCCTTTTTGTGCTTTTAGTTTGTTTTTCAGATAGGGCTTCATGCTTTTGCTGGCTGGCCTTGGACTGCAATCCTCCTATGTCTGCATTCTGAGTAGCTGAAACCACAGGTGTACACAACCATGCCTAGCTTGTTCATGACATAAAGTCTCACTAACTTTTGCCTGGGCTGCCCCTTAACTGTGATTCTTCTATCTCTGCCTCCCATGTAGCTAGGATCAGTTGTTATCCTACTTAACTCTACAACCACCCCCATGATGTAGGTACAGATTGCTGTTGCCATTCTCCGATTAAGGATCTGAGACCCACTGTGGATAAGTAACTTGCTAAATCCCAAGACAGACAGAAAAGCAGAGTTTCCTACACTGAACATCCTTGTACTCCTAAGGAATGTGCTTTATTTCCCAACCATCTACCTTAGGTTTCCCCCAAGGAAAACACCTGTAGAGAACACTGGCTCCTTGATGCTTCCCTTTGTTCTTCCTCATCATGCAGTAAATTGCTAAATTCTGATTGGCATCCACAAAGTAATATCACCACACAAGGTTTTGCATTCAGCAATGTCAGGTTATTTCTCTATAGCTGGAAGAAAAAATAACAGCTTATTTGTCCTTGTTCTTTCCAAGATGTGTGTTTCTTAAAATGCTTTATGCAAGTTGATGCCTAAGAAGAACTTCATTTTCTCCAGTTTCAACTCCTTTAGTTCTATGTGAAAAACAAAAGATTTATAAACTTGAAAAAACAGGAGAGAGAATATTGATATAATTGTGACCTGAATCTTTACTGGCTCTGAAAAAATTACCATATTGGCAAATGAACCCCATTCCAAAAGCAGAATGTGCACAAAGCCACAAGTTACTCATCTCACATTCCTTGCAGTTATGAAAGCTCTCGCTGTTAATAAGCCCCCAACCCCAGATTTCTGGTGCAACTAAAACCACCCTTTGAGCATAGAAGCCAATAAATGTGTTTTGTTGTTGTTGTTATTGTTTTGGTTTTTTCTGCTGCACAGAACCTGAAGCGGGTGGCTGAGACCTGGATGGATGAATTTGCTGAATACATTTACCAACGGCGGCCTGAGTACAGACACCTCTCTACAGGGGACATCTCTGCCCAGAAGGAGTTGCGCAAACAGCTCAAGTGCAAAGACTTCAAATGGTTCATGGCTGCAGTGGCCTGGGATGTGCCTAAGTACTACCCTCCAGTGGAGCCCCCACCTGCTGCCTGGGGGGAGGTGAGGAGACCTGCTCTTACCTGTGAGAGGTGTCCATCTCTCTGTTGCCTTGAGTGGTGGGAGGGATGACTAAATTGTCTCTTGATTTAAATCTTTTCAGATAAATGAATGTCCAGCTTTTCCTTAGAAATTGCTAGAAATAAGGATTCAGCCCTCAGAGTGGATAACCCAACTCAGAATGGTTGACCATTGCTGACTCTTCAAACAAATTTTTTTAAATGCATCTGGAAAATATTTTTACTTGAGATTGGTGAAATTTCCATGAGAGCTTGTAGAGAATGAAAATATCAGTCACGCTACTGTATAAATAAGGGTGATCTGATCTCTTTGTGCACAGTACTGTTGCTGTTTATGTATGTTTATGTATGCAAGAACAGGTAATCAAGGAGCTTCACTATTTTCCTAACCAGGTACACTATGTAGAATAATGAAGAAATGCATTTCCATAATACATAGAACTGTGAGATGTACAGGAACCACACCGGTTCCTTAAATAAGCACTAACCTTGCCACCCCTGAATGTTTCTATTCTATTGGATTTCACTTTAAATGGAAAGAGCCTCAGGCCCCAAATTTAAACTATCTGTCTTTTGGCATAGGAAGGCTATTGCACTGGTTCCCTTCATTCAATTCTGTTGCTGTAGCCTTTTCCCAGTAGAGAAGAGAATGCTAAAGCAAAGACTAAAATAGGATAGAGGAGATTTATCCTAATAATTTAACCTGCTTCTAGCAGAGGATGTCAAGGGGAAATACCAGCTGGTCATCATCCTGGTTCTCCAGCCTTTCATCGGCCCAGGGTTGGCTGCCCAACATTGTGAAGGAGACTTGTCATCATCATCCTTGGTTTCCTAGTGTGGGTGAGAAGATACCATTCCCTGGTTAGTGTCCTTGGATACAGCACTTTGAGGAAAAAAAAAAAAGCTACCCCAAGACATAAGAAGAGAGACCTGAGGACTGAGTACTCTGGCACCCTTGACATCATTACTGAGTGAGCTGTCCCACTTCCCTGTAGAAAATGTGTTCAGCAACTCTTAGGGATGTGACTGAGAGTGTCCAAGAAAATGCTGCTCTCTATCTACCTGGACCTGGCACATCCCAGGTATGCAGATGAGAGCTGAGGCCAATACACCATGCTCCATCTCTCCATGGTTTTTATATGAGTATGTGGTGCCAAAATTATCAACTTTTTGGCCTCATTCTTTGCATTTTAAACATTTCATTAAAACATTGATGGAATACTAATAATATTAGTCTGTTTGTATTAGTCTTAGCTAATTATCGTAGGCCTAGTTTACAGTCATGGAAAGTTTAATTATACACCAGAAAGAACTTTCTTAACCTAACTCATTGGAAGGCATACCAATTTGTTACACTATAAGTGGAGTGTTCATTCTCTAAAGTTTTTTGGTTGAGGGTCCATTTGCCTGCTTTCTACAATGGGGTAGGTTCTTGTTTGCCAAACAACTAAGAAAGATGCTTCAAGACCCAACAGTATCATTGTGTGCTTCAACGTCAGGTTAACAGCTCATCAGCCTTTTCTCTGCCTAACATGAAAGCATAAATTGTTGTTCCTACCTGGTTACTTCAAACTGCAACTGGTCACATTTTCCCACACAACTCCCCGTTGTGAAACAGATTCAGATCTTCTATTCTAGAAAAGATATAACCTCCCAGGAATAATCTAAATAAGAACCATCATAAGGAAGGGCTATGTCAGTGTATTTTAATCCATTTCACCTGATTGGTGAAATGAGTGGACCTTGCGTCACTCCCCTCAGCCCTGGAGACGTGAACTTCTCACTCTTGATGTAAACAATCATACACTGAAATCATATTTTTTTTAACAAGTCAGCTAATTTCTTGCCCCAGAGCTTCAAAACAGTATGCAAATAAAGATCATATTCAGGTTTATGGAAGAAGGAAATAGTTCAAGGGCCAGTTCATTTGGTCACATTTTTCAGAGAGAATGTCAGTGCACAGCAAGAATGAAGATACAGAGATGGAGGAAGGAAGCCAACAAGGCACTAAGCTTTTTGCTGATACATAGTTTTGAAAAGTATTTACTCCCCAGGCAGCACAGATTCCTGACAGGAGACATGAAGAACGTGCATTTAATTCAGGAGGCAAGTGAAGAATTTGAAATGCAGCTTAATCTAAATGAAATGATGAACTAGAAGAGACTATCTTCTAACTGTATATTGAGTAATAACAACCTATTTCTTTTTTTTCTTTGATGCTGAGGATTGAACTCAGGGCCTCCGTGCTTGCTAGGCAGATGTGCTACCCCTTGAGCGACAACCCCAACCTCCTATTTCTTCATAGTGGATTTAAAAAGACTAGAAGTACAGAAAGTATCTGTAGGTTAACAGAATCTCTGAAAAGAAATTTTTCAATTTTTTCACACTTGTGTGATTTCCTTTTTAGGGGGCCTTCTAAAAATAAACTTTTGTTTTAGGATAATTTTAATTTTAAATTTATAGAAACATTACAAAGATAATTTATGAAGTCCACATTCACCTGCTATTTATCTTATTTTACTGTTAAAATTTTATATTTCTCACATTGACTGGCATATTTACTAGTTAAGTCATTAACATTGGTACAGTACTACCGACTGAACTGCAGACTTTATTTGGATTTCAGGGCTTTTATTAATGTCCCATTTCTTTTCCAGGATCCAATCCAGGATCCCACTCAATCTGAGAGGACTTTTTAATTTCCAAAAACTTTAAATTAATTGTTAGAATGGGCAAAGATCCTAAATAAATGTAGTAGGTAAGTTGCTGTTTTTGTAAGAAAGTGAGAAGGGGAATGCAATCTCTGGTTCTTTTCTAGCAATTATGGGAAGGAACCACAAACCTCCAACAAGGCAAACGTAAGAAATCTTTATGGAAGACCTGTGCCAAGAAGCCACTTGTAGTTGGAGTCGTTTTCCACCTCCTTCTCTGTGCCAGCCTGATTCTAGGCAAATAATGAAGTGCTTAGGCAATTTTTGGCTCTGCTCTTTGGAACTAAGCTTGTAGATTTGTTACAGGCCATAAACAGCCTCTAAGCTGCTACTCATGATGTGACAAATCCAGCTGATTATTGCACTTGTCTCCTAACTCATCTCTCCACTCTGCCCTCTGCCTTGCGTTTATTCTCAGTACAGTCCATTTAAAATGGGAGATCAGGCCATTCCTCCCTCACAACCTTTAAAGACTACATCTTTCTGTGAATAAAAATCAAAGACCCTAAATGATCTGACCCCTATAGTGTCCCCTCCAACCCCATCATTTACTAGCCCTGCTTAGCCTTCTCCAGACACACTACTCTTCACCATTTCTCAACTATGACAGACAAAGTCCCACCTAGGTCACTGCACTTGCTTCCACTACTTAGATTTCTTCACCTCCTGAAATACAATTGCCCCTTCCATCACTTCCTCTAGATCCTCAATCAAAAAAAAAATCATTTTTCAATCAGGCCTTCCCTGGTCATCTGGCCATCCTATCTAAAGTTGCAACAATCTACACACACATGTATGCATCTACTTTTACACTCCTTACTCCCTTTCTTCCTTTATTTTTCCTGTTAGCATTCATCACTACATAACAAGCTATGTTATTCATTTATTTATCTTATTTCTTATCTATCTCCCCTGCTACACAGCAAGCTCTACAACATAAAGATTTCTTATTGGTTGTTGTGTTACTGCTCCTCTTTGACAGCAAGAAATAGTGGCATATCATAGATGTTTAATAAGCATTTTTGAATGCATGGATAGAAAGTCCTGGTTCCTTGTTGTCTGCTCACCATTCAGTGCTCTGCCCACTTGCATGTGTATCTGAGCCCTTAACAAAGCACCTTGATCTAACTCCAACTCTCCTGCAAGGGAGGAGTCTCTGAACTACTCCTTCACTGCCTAAAGTCCACCTCTTTGGAATAAATAAATTTTAAGTAACCAATTCTGAGAGACTGTCAAGTTTATGATCCAAAAGGTTCTGGCTTATCATCCTAAGGGGAAAGAGGAGAAACTCCAAAATTAAAAATCCTCTAGTCCAGCAATTTCCAGACTCTCCTTACCAACTTCCTACTTAAAAGGCAGAAAAGTTGAAAGTCATAGCTGATAGAGAAGTGCTCTCCAGAAGTCATTCCATTTTCTGCGACACAAGAGAAGTGAGTGGAGTTGGGGAGGCAATGGGGCCAGAGAGACTAAATGAGATCTTGAGCCATGTAATAAGTTAGGCATCACTGAGTGCTATTCAAATAGAAGCAATGAGCTTTTCCAGTATGCTCTGGTAGAGAGGGGAAGAAGAGTTTTAAAGTGGGAAACTATTCTTAAACCACTCACATATGGAGTGTCTCTTTTTTGTGTCAAGTTGCTAAATGAAAGAAATTGAATTTCCTATTATTTTTCTCCTTCTTATCCTTTCCTCTCTTTAGAATTCATGAATTTGCTAAAGTCATTTATAGTACTCCTTTATAGTCCAAAAAAGAAGAGTTCTGCAGAATTCTAAATATCATGTGAAAGAGGAATAAAAGATGTAAAATAGACAAAGGTGTCTTTTCCAAACAGTACCATAAATTCTTTTAAAAAGTGTCTGCTTACTGTCCTCAATGTGCCAATCTTGACACTTCCATTTGTTATCTTGCAATTGTGCAAAACTTTTTTTAAATCTTTATTTTCAAAATTCATCTCAATACGGAACTACATTCACCGCTTATTTAAATTCCTTCCTTGAGATGGATGTCACTCTGAATTGTGAAATATTCACAGCAATAGGCACCCTAAATAATTCCAGTTCTCCTCCTCCTCTTTAGGTATCTGCTCTTGACTTCTTTCAACCTGTTTGCTACCTCCTTTTGCTAATGTTCTCAGGGTACACAAGACTTTTTAAATTTCTCCAAGTCAGCCTACACAGAAGAAAGTTCAACACTAAGAGATACGTTATCTGAAAGGCCATCTCACTGTATCATGTTGCCTCTTTCAAACATGTTCTGCACGGGCACTGAGATGC